CCGGCTCTCGTTCCTGGCTGTTTATCTGCTGACGGAGGATGGGAGATTAGCTGATTGGCTGATGCGATGAGCTGTGTTTGCATTGCACCCTCGCTCTCCTGCAGTTGTGGGAGAAGTAACAAGTGTGAGGAGGAGTCAGAACTTGGATCTCCAGCGAATGCGAGACGTTTCCAAACACAAGCCATCATGCGCTCATCTCGGTGCTAAGGAAAGATGTGCTTTCTGCACCTGAAGTCTTGCTGGCCTCACTTCCTTCTACAAGTCGTAATTTGAGTCAGTTTTTTGATGCAATGCTTGTTGCCGCGGTTTGAGGTAGGTTAGAGGAACGTGCGGATCAAAGAATTCCCCCCAGAAATTACCCACCTCCACCTGGGTTAGAGTTTCACCATGCAGTTGAGCGTAGGAGACGCGCCGGAACCCGTTGCTGGATATCGTCAATTTTCAAGGCAGTCGTCTGCGGCCCGGTTCTGCAGATGCTCCAGGACGTGGAGGATCAGAGTGCAAGTTTGCCGTGGTTTGTGAGTCCCCCTCTGTACCCTACAGCCGTCGACATCGTGCAACTTGCAGCCTCCAGGCGCTCACAGGATTCAGTTTGATTCCAATTGCCGACATGGGGTGATGGGATTCCCCGAGACTCAAGAAGGAAGGTTTCTCGCAGCTCAACTAAACTGGGCATGGCCTGCGGGTGGCCCTGAAGATCAGCAACTCCAGCCGCCAGGCTTTTGAAGGTTTACTCAAAACCACACGGAGCGACATCAGGCTCGGGCGCTGCAAAGCAGCTTTTGCCCTCGCGTTCTGAGATCTTGCGTGGCACTCAGTTGCTGCTGGTTGCTGTGCGCGCGCTGCCGTTCTCTGTCCAACTTATCGTCCACCTGTGAATCTGAAGCAATGGCGCTTGCAAAGGTGACGGTCGTTGTTCTTTTCTAATCGTAGCTGCTTTTCAGCAGTGGAAGTGCAGCAGCGTTGTCATCGTCTGTTGGTTCTCGTATCACCACTACTACTGCTGCTGCTGCTGCTACTACTACTACTACTACGACTCCTCCTCCTGCTCCTGCTGCCGCTGCTGCTGCTGATGTTCTTATTCCTCCTGCGGTGCGGATAAAGTTGACATTTCAACAACCGTGCTGTCTACACGCCACCTGCAAACCGTTGAGGCCCGAGTTCCCAGAGGTCACGGTGAGCATCAGCTCACGAAAGCCGCTTGGCACGGATTGCGGCTCTCTTCCTTAAGAGCATCCTTGTTCCAGCAAAACTGTATCGTTTTTGCTCAGAATTTTCCGGTCACTTCTGCTTGAAGGCCCTTCTCAATCCCAAGGCATCCCAAGGCGAGATGCCGTGTGCAGTGCTGTGCAGCTTCGATTCAAAGCACCACTGCGCAGCTTTGGCGTGGCTGACCTTAGTGAGCAAAGGTGTAAGGCCGAGGGAATCAAGACTGAGGATCATGGTCCATTGGGTGAAGCTGGGCAGAAAGCCCAGTACTCAGAACAAGACTGGCCCCGTCTTGGCTAGAAGCTGGAGATTTGGCAAGCATCCGGTGAGTGCCAACTAACGAAAGACTTCCATCACCGCAGATGCGAGCCAAAATCAGAGTTCGCGTCAGGCTGCTCCAGAGCCGCCCCGTTGCATCGTGACGGCCTCAGAGTGGGAGCAGGGCCTTGAAGGATCGGGGCGCGGGGTGTCTTAGCGTCTTGCTGGCTCTCTCTTTCGGCAGAGCTGTCCAAAACCTTTGTATCAGTTGAACGGATTCTTGGTTCTTGAATGCAGGGCCTGGCTCCGTAGTGGCCGTGCGTCCGACCTTGATCTACATCATCCGTCTGGCTATTTACGTATCTTAGATCTACCGATCTGATTCTTTCTTTTTCTGTGTCCGTCTGTCTGTCTACCGGTTTTACTTCAGTACTTCAAGTCACAATGCGAGTAGCCACTATTAGGCGTCGAATGACGAGAAAGCCGGAGAGCCTCAGGTCGAAATCACGTGGCAAGCGGAAGCCACTCAGAGTGGACAAACTCGTCGAGTGGCTCAGCTGCTTAGTCATGGGAAGATCGCTTTGAATTCGGGCGCCCGTGTTAAAACACCGACTATAAGGGGTAGGGTCTGAGTGTCTTGGTGATCAACTCCATTATCTGTCCATCATAGCTGGCTTGAGCCGTCCAGGGATCCAACCCTTTCATCTCGTGGCAAGCACAGCTGCCCCGACAACTCGTTCGTGTTTGGCAGAGAAGGGAGAAAAGGAGACGTGCAGGAAGGAGAAGGAATCCCTCTGGTATGCGTTTCCTGCTTTTTGCGCCTGCGCAGGCTGTATCTGGAGAGCCAGGAGGAATTGGAGCTCACATCTCAGCTTGTTGGCTGTGAGCTGGTGTTTGATGCAGGGCCGCAGGGCCGTGCTGTAGCAGATCTTGGGCAACTGATGCTAGCAGCTACTAGCAGCAGCTGGTGGCGTTCAGGCAGATGTGCCTGGATGATCCGGAACAGCTGATCCATGCACAAATCGAGCTGCTCACCCAGCGCATCGAGGCAAGAGTCTGGCAAGGAGGGAGGGGCTTCCCCCAGAAAACCCGCCGAGTCGCCAGGAGATCGATGAGGAGGAGCTCAAGGCGAAGGTGGACGGCCAAGTGCTCCTTAGGATTCCGACGGTCCTGAAGTCTAGTTTTGGCACGAGGCGCAAAAGCTCTTTTGTTCCCGCTGATCCAGACAAGTTAGACTTCGGGCAAGCAGCCCTTACCTTTTTACTCCTCTTCGTCAAGTTACCGACCGGGTGCGCTGAGGCAAAGGCCAAGGCCAAGGCGAAAGCCGAGGCTCAGGCCAAAGCCAAGGCTGAGGCTGGGGTTCGGGTCGCAAGGGCTTCGGTCTCCCATGTCCAAACAACTCCACGACCAGAACTTCCCAGCCTTGAACGCCTCGAACACCTTGCCACGAAGAGGCCGACCTCCGAGATCTCGCTCGTGCACGGGCGCAGGAGGCCTGCCAGAGCTGCCCTCGTCTTCCTGAACATCCAAGTTCCGCGAGAGCGGCAGTAAGCAAGGGGCTCTTGTTCAAGTTCGAATGGTTCGTGCTCAAAGAGCAGTGAAACACGGGGTATCACTCAGCACATGGTGCAAGTCTGGGGTGGGAGGCGCTCTTGGCACGATGCGAGCCTCCTTTGCTCCCTGATAGCGCAGCGCAGTGGTCCAGGCACAGAAAGAGGAGGAGCCGCCCGGCTTCTCCGAGCAGCAGCTTGAGGCGACACCAGCAGAGTCTCAGAGGGGGCCTGTCAGTCTGTCAGTGTCAGGGTCTTTGCATCACCAGAGCGAAAGGCAAAGACTTGAAAACGGATCCGATCCTGAAAGTGCTGAAACAGCAGAAACACCCAATTCCACCTGAAGAAGTCACTGCCATATTTGTGGGGTTAGTGGTTAGTGCCTGTGTTTCTCGGTGTCGGCTCCAAATCGTAGTTCGTCGTAACAGCCGCTGTACAGCTTGGCAAGTGGAGCGTTGCCTTCCGCAGACTCAGGACTGGGGCTCCGTCTTCGACCGCGCCGGGCGCCCACGGGCCCACGCGGGGAGACAGCTCCGTTCCGCCTTGGGGCCTCTGCAAGTCTGCAACTCGCGACCAGTTCCCTTCTCCAGAAGTCTTCTGAGGCCGTGCAGAAGCGGGAGGCCTGGAAGAAAGGCACGCTCCAGGGAGCACACTCGGAAATGAGCTGTATCAGCAGCCGACCAAGTATGCTGCATGTCACTTGATGAGTCCTGTGTTGGATCGCCGGCGGTAGGGCTGATCAGGATTATGATACACTGTACAGTTAATCACATCGCAAGACGAGGCCCAGAATCCTTTGTCCTCATGCGAACCTATCCGCAGGCCGTGGTGAGAGGGAGAAAACCGCAGCAGCCTGAGAAAATTTGAGACAGACAGGCAGCAGTTTTGGGAGGACATGTCGGGCCTTTCTTTGCCCCAAGGCGCAGGACCACTGGCGCAACAAAGTCGTCGCATCCTGGTGCCGAGCTTAGAGTTCAGCGCTCGAAGTTTTCCAGGGCAGGCGTGCTAGTCCAGAATCACTTTCGCAGGGACGAGCTGGCAAATTCCGTTGTTTGATTGATGCCCATCCTGCTCCTTGATTTTCTGATTCGTTCAGGCCTGCGCCGGTGCTGGCTTCTGAGGCTGCCAAGGCCATGAAACGATTCAAGGTCATGTCCAGTGAAATCTGCCCTAGGCGGCGAGTCCGCACAACGGGGTCTTTATCCGCCTTGTGCTTGTGAGAAGCTGGGAGTGTCTAAAGCTTGCGGATGCTCCAAGCTCCAAGTATCCGTAGCCTAGCGTGAAGCGTTGAGAGAGGCCGGGCAGTCTGCCGTGGCGGAGCAGATGCGGGCCGAGCTCGGAGCTTGGGATTCTGAACTGGACGTGAGCAGTACAACATGTAGACTCTGACAAGCTAAGGGTGGAGCGATTGCAAGGCGTCTTGGAGCGCTTCGAAGCCCAGCAAAGGTGCTTGGTGGGGCACTTTGGGCGTGCAGCTTCGGCGCGTGTTGGTCACGCCGACAACGTGTCATCATCGCTTGCGTCCGACTGGGGGTTCATGTACTCGTAGTGTCGTAGTGCTGAGGACGGTGTACACTGTAGTTGTTGCCATAAGCAATCCATTCAGAATTCAGGAAGACCAGGAGCGCTGCACCAATGTGTGCAAGACATGGCATGGTGCTTCAGCGGCTTCCGTTCTGGAGTTTCATTTTGAAGATGTTGGGTTGTGCAAACCTTTACGCACTGAGCTTTTTCATGAATGTGCATCGCATTGCATACAACAGCCGCAGCTTTGGCATAGGTTTGCGAAGGGCTTCGCTAGGCCCTACTTGGCCAGGTATAGGACGGGTCGAACGCTTGTGACACCTGCAGCTCTTGGGCACAAGCACAGACGGGACTCGCAGCGGACAAACGAGGGGATTCAGCGACTCACCTTCACAGAGGCTTGCGGCTAGTGAGTAGTGGACTGAATGGGGAAGTTGTAGGACTGCAGTCGTTACTCGCATGAGCCGAGCTCGCGATGAGCGCTCGAAGGAGGAGACGCTGGCGCAAGAACGCGTCGAACGCCTGCTGATCGCGGCCCGAAGTGGGCACTTGTCAAACGTGCAGCTGCTGCTTGAAGAGCGGGTAGATCCAAATGCCAGCCTGGGCATGGACTGCACGGCTCTGCAGCAGGCAGCTGCCCACGGCCAAACGGCAATAGCAAACCTCTTGATTCAGGCGGCGGCAGATGTAAATCTTGCCGAAGACATCGACCACTCCACGCCTCTTCATTTGGCCGCTGAGTTTGGGCATGTGGAAGTGTTGCGACTGCTGCTTCAGGCAGGTGCCCTACCAGAGGAGCTGGATACCTACGGCCGCAGTCCAGCAGAAAAAGCGGCAGAGTTCGGCCACGCAGAGGTGGCACGGATGTTGAAGGAGGCAGCACGGGGCCACACCAACACCTGAGCGCAACGCGAGCTGGCATATTGAGAGGATTTGAGACATGGTAGCCCGCGAACAGAATACGTTCGCTCGTCGCTATCGCCTCTGCGGTTTCACTCGTCACTCGTCACTCACTCCACGGTTTCTTTCAACTATGGGTTTTGTGCCAACTATCGTGATACACTCAAACACACTCAGGAAATGCTCGCGAAATCGATGGTTTGCCGTGGCCGTAGCATGCCTCTCAGGTTGGTCGTGAGTGAGTCGCGCCATGCTGAGGGTATACACTCAACAAGATGGTCAGTCAGCGCGATTGTGTCGCTGACTACATGCCATGCTAGTTTCACCGAGAGCTTTGTTTCCAGAAGCCGCCAAACCGTGCCGAAACTGTGTTTTGCAATGCAGCAGTTCCTTCCATGCACCATCTTGTTCCACTGGTTTCCTGAGTCTGGGGTCACACCTGTCCCTACTGCGCTTGCAAGGAGGCTACGGCGCAAAGAGCAGCAGCCCATGCTGGACCTAGCCGAGGCATCTCAGGGTACAATCTGTGGTGATGGGGGCTCGATAAGTTCAGAGATTTCGCGATGCAGGAATGTTCGGGTGCCTGCATGGCTTGGCGTTGGAGTATCATTTGGGCGCCAAAGTGTTTGAAGAGGCGACAATTCTACTTGAGCCAAAGCGGTCAGCCAAGCCATTGATCAGGCAACACAGAAAGCTCAGTAAAGTTCTTCAAGAAGCATTGTGCAACAGGCCTTGCATGAAGAGCAGCGAGCGGCACCGACCTCGTCCAGTGCCGCGCGATGTAAGGGTTACAGTTCAATCGGCACGGCCAGTGCAAGAGCACAACTAAGCAATAGTTATAAGAACACAAACGCTCCAGCCTAGTCACAATCACAAACTCATTCCGATCTAGACCACATGCCTGCACTCGAGAGTCCTGCAGTCACACCGTGTTCCGGAGGACCCGGGGCATGATGGCTTGCCGTGCTTTGCTGTGCAAACTGCCTTTCCGCCTGCTCCGTTTCGTCCAGAGGATGCTTTGCAGGCGCGGGCAGAAGCACTTTCCGAAGTGCAAGATCAGCTTGTTCCGAGGCGATGGCAGAGAGGGCCGAGGCGATGAGGGCAGGGGGGTGGGGTGGTGGTGGTGGTTACGCTTGCATTGACATTGCTGTGCATCTGTCCTTGCTGCGTTTCATCGTTTACTGGATTCGCTGCTCGGCGACAGCACTGGTATTGCTGCGCCTTGGTCAAGAAAGGCCCAGACCCTCGAGGGTCCAGAATTGATTCCGACTCCAGGAGCTGCAGAGGAGGCGACGAGAAGCGGAGGTCCATTGCGTTAGCGTTTGCTTTGCTTCGGGGTGATTCTGTGTTAAGACGTTGCATGCAGCTTTCTGTCTCTGGTTATTCGGCAAGGGTGCAGGCTTCCAACCGAAGCAACCCTCCCGCTGTCAACTGAGTGTGGTGAGGAGCGGCGGCGCTTAGAGGAGGAACGGAGGAGAGAGGCCTGGGCAGCTGTGCCGTTTAATCACTCTATGAGGACCGCTTTACTTATGCGATGATCGCGGCCGGATGCAGGAGGAGGAGCGCAAGCGACGCCGGCGAGAGGAGGAGGAAGAAGAGGAGCGCCTGTCAAGTGGAGTGACATGCAGAAGTGGGCTTGTAATTGCCGTCCCAGCTCACCCAAACTCACCGTACCATCGCCACAGCTCAAATCTCTACGGAGTCAACAAGCATTCAGGTTTTTGCCCGTAAGCTTCGATTCTCGGGTTTTCTGCTTGCGCTGATCGCCGCAATCTGGATGTTTCCTCGGCTCCAATGCGTGCACAGCGCAGTCCCTCTCCTAACTTCATCGGGCCGACGACAACTTGAGGCATGCAATTACCCGTTCTAGTCATCACCGCCACCGTCCAAGCTCCTCATGTGCCGGCATCCCTCACCGCCAACCCCAGACCCCTTCACAGGCACCGTCGTTTGCAACCAAGCATGAGACGATGTCCAGTTAGGAAGCGAAGTGGCAAGCAGCGCTGTTGCTTTGGCATCCATTAGCCATCACCCAGCTGGCATGCTGTAAGGTTTTGGAACGACTGTACTCGGCTTGTGTGGGCGCTTGTTTTGATCAGAGCTTCTGCAACGTGGAGAGGAGAGACGACGTGAGCAAGAGGAGGTCGGGGATATTTGCTGTGGGGTCAGGGTTCTTCGAGGGTATTGTACAGTGAGTACAGAAGAACTTCAGGCGTGTCATTTTCGCCTGATTCGGCCCTCTGTGGCAGAGCGCCGCTTGCGATCACCGAAGTCAGTCCAGAGAGGCGGAGCACCAAACACAGCAAGGCAACGCGCCCAACAGCTTAATTGATCAGTTTAGAGAAGCTCCACCATCCTCAAAAGTTTCTTGTGCTTCTCCATTACTCTTGATGTGGCACAGCAGACGTGCTGCATGATTTCTGCGCTCGGGGCACTCACAGCAGGGATCATCGCAGCAGGTTCTCGGCCTTTTGGGTTCTGTGGTTTCCCATTCGTGCAGGCCGATCGGCTGCAGCGCGAAGAGCACGAGCGTGCGCCGGGACCCTGGAGATCCCGGTCACTGCAGCTCCCAGCGACCACGGACTCGGACCCAGCACGGACCGACCGCCCTCAAACAGAGGATGGAACGTCTACGGCGAGACAAGCAGGCACGCCCGCGCGCCCGGTGCTGCCGCTCTGAGTGGCTCCTCGTTTCGTGGCTCCAGGAGTCCGAGCGAAAGCGAGCAGAAGAGCGGAGGATCGCCGTGGAGTTGCGCCGGCCCGGTTCGGTTCCACCAGTCTCCAGCCTCTCTCTACCCACAGTCTTTCTCCATCCGGTCCAGAGCTGCCGCCCGCTCCAGCTGCCGTGCTTCTCGCAATGCTTTCGGCTTGGAAAGCACGAAAGTCGGTACTGCATCGGTTGTCCAGAGTTGATAGTCCCACTCCCTTGGCATGCTGCTGATTATAATGATACATGATAAACAAGAGCTCCTACAGCTAGCTGCTTGGCATCAGTCATAGGCATAGAATAAATGTGGCTCTGACTGCTAGTGCCAGGCGCGAGGCCGCACAAGCTCGTGAGATGGAGGTGCCTTGATATCACCGGTATGGATGTGTTTGCTGCCTCGTGACCTGTGGAGGAACTGGATTTAGACGGGCCCTGGGTGCAGGGTGCAGTGCAGCTTGCGCGCTGCGTGTTTGCTGAGTTTGAGAGTTGGGGGCTGGGCTTCGAGCGCTCGTATACCCGGGGCAGAGTGGTGATGGTTATCCAGCGGGCATGGAGAGTCCCGGACGGTCTCTTGAGGAGAAGTTTCGTCGACAACAAGAGATGGCTGCCCAACGTGCCCGCCTCGACAAGCATGTGCAGCTCAGGGATGCTCAGGGATTGTGAAGCTGTGGTGACGAATGACGGCATGATCCTTTGCTAAGGGCCCTGGAAACAAGGATTTGTGAGTCAAGGCTATGGCGGCTATGGCCTGCAGGGTTGTGCAGGTTTACGGCCAAGCCCCGGCTGCTTCAGTCTTTGAACCGCAAAACTCCCTGCAATTTCCCTGAGACTCGCGACTGCTCAGGCCAGGCTCAACGTGAAGAGGAGCATGGATTTACCACAGCGCTGCTTCGACAGGTCAAGTTGAAACGAACAAAGGCAAGACAGGGAAGCCGTCGGAATTCGCTGCGTGACTTATAGCTTTGTCGGCTAGGAAGAAGGCCCCGCTCCTGAAAACCGATGCCCCTTGATGCGAGGAGCGTCGGAAGAAGGAGGAGGCGCGGCGGCTCGAAGAGGAGACCGATCTGAAGAAGGTATATTGAAAGACACTATTTATTTCAAACATATTGTTCATGTTTTAGTCATCATAATCATGCTTCGCTTTGCGGCGCTTTGCGGGTTGCGCTCGCGCGCCTTCTCGCGACTGCAGGAGCGGCGGAAGGCGGAGGAGAGGAGACGTGAGGAGGAGGCGACCTACTTGGAGATTGGGTTTAGGGTTTAGGGGATTGCTTCTTGCGTTTGGGGCGGGGTGCTTCTTTCATTTTGGTTCGGCGCCTTCTGCAGCTTTAATTAGGATGAGCATCTGCAGCCATGTCCGTTTCGTGACACCGAGCACCACGAACAGCCCAAGCTAACAAAGTAAACTGTGAGTGAGAGATCTGCTAGAAGACTGCTTTGTGTCTGCCTTCCCAAAGGAACGAAGAAGAGAAGAGGAGCTTCGTCAAGAGGAGGCATGTTTCGGTCGTTGCAGACCTGTCTTACATGAAACGGTCTAGCTGTCTGTGGCTTGCTCATCCATTGTGGGTGCTAACTCAGAGTGCCAACCTTTCCTAGGGCCCAGGGCTCCTTGCGACAAGCCAACATCTCTGAAGCATCGGCTGTTTGGACACCACTTCTCGGAGCTCAACTTAACTTCGGCGGTGGTCAGTTCACACCTTCGTTCTTGGAAGCTCGGCCGGGGCCTCCTAAAACCAGTATCTTCTTCTGCCGGGCATATAAAGACACACATATTCAATTATACATATATATATATACTATTGTATTATATGAGTATATGAGTATGTGTATATATATATATATATGTACATATATATATATATATATATTATTCAGTTTATCTACTTGTATATACGTTTACTGGCACGGCCTTACGAGAACACGATCAAAGAAACCGACTGGTGCAGGAGCGCCTGAGAGCGGAACAGCAGCGCCTTGAGGCCGGGGGCCTCCTGAGAGATGGGGGTTTAGGGGCGCATTTAGACTCTTAGTAGCTGAGTGGATACACTTTACACTTTTGGGGATAATATTACTCATTAGAAAACTTACAGTGTACACTTTTTGGGGCTTATGAACTCAGAAGCTAAGTACTATAGTTACATGTAGTAGGCCCCTATACTTGGTGCTTTTGTTTGGGGTTCAGAGTTTAGGAGTTAGGGTTTAGGTGGTGGTCCTCACTTCACTGTCATTCCTTGCGACGACTGAGAGTCTACAACGGCTATCCTCGGCCTTGGCAACGGCGGCCAGCTGTTACCAATCCCATGCTTACAGCAACACAGTGACCACCACCCCAACCCCGGCCAGCTGCTGCTGCAGGCGCACACCTACTAGGTGGACTGTCGAGAAGCGATGAATGATAGTCTTTTGGAGCTTCGATGGCTCTGCATCCTTTGGCCGCTGCAAGGTTCAAGGGAGCTACGGCTGCCACAGTATCCCGGAGACAGAGTAACGGGGTTTCAGGCAAAAACGAAAGGATGTCGAAGAGTGGGCAAGCCTTGCAAGCCCTGCTCCTGTGGTTATCTTGCCGCGCAACCCTGCCATGGGCTGTGCAGCCGGTGCCTCGAAGGTCCATCCACAGGCCGTTGAAGGGGTCGTGTAGATTGGCGCACTCCGACGCCAAAGCATTCATTCGCAGGAGCATGCGGCACTCGGAGTGGGCAAGAGATGCAACAGGCGGGAAGCGCCAAAGTATTTCAACGACACCGAAGGGCTCCTTTTGACGATGCGAACATGCAAGCCCGCAATTGCATCGATGTCGTGATTTGGAAGCATAGGGATGGCATAAGGAGCCACTGCCGATTGCATGACTCATTTGTAGCCTTGGCTGGTCTGCTTTACGGATTCTGCGACAGTGGAACTGAGACAGGGGTGCGCAGACGGTCCGCTTCGACGACGTGAGCATTAATGCTTTCAGTCCTGTGCACGATTCGCAAGGCAACGTGCGTCTTGGCTGTATGTTACACTATATTGTACTATATTATATTGTATTGCACTATACTACACTATGTCATGCTATACTGTGTTATATTATTGCTTTCCGTTGCAGGTGAGCCAGAGGCGATTGCCTGGGGATTGCCTCCTTCAGCTAAGCCCAGCTTTCACCGAGTTGGCCTTTGGCAGACCTAGTCGGTGCAGCCAAGTCAACGTTTAGGGTCTAGGGGCCTCGACATCAGGCCGGCAGAACAGGTACCAAGTAAGATCTTCCCAATGAAAGAAGAAGACCCTAAGCGGCACGAAGAGATGTGGTACTCAGGCCAGACGGCAAGGAGACGACCTCCGTGGACGACCAAGCAGCTGGATCCGCACTAACATGTCTGGCCGCTTAAGGAGCCGGCCCTCTCCGATTTTGGGGAAGATCTCGGAACTCTCACAAAAGAAGATTCTGGACGGACCCATCCACCCAGGAAGACGATTCCGAGTTGGAGGCCGGGCTCGTAGCCTGGGCCCTTGGTGCAGTCCTCGCGCTCAGGGGGGAGTGGGGGAGGTATGATCTAGGTGTCACACCCGCCATATCTCAGGTGCCCTATGTCATGAGTCGGGCGTTTGGTCTTACGCGTACTCAGGTTCATCTTCGAGTCAGTTGGGCTTTGTTTTAGCGGCTGCATTGCGAGCCTAGCAGTCATCACCACCGACATCATCTCTTTCGATGATGAACTTGCCGGTTGCGACGGCGAGGATGATGCTGATGATGTTCATGATGGCGACAGCAGCCACAAATTCATGACATATGCAGCTGCTCTTGCCCTCAAAGTGTGAGACTGCGGTACCACAGATCTGAAGAGAGAGCTCGGAGAGAGAGGGAGCGCTCTGCATCGCAGGCTCGGGCCTGGTCCTCCATGAAGTCGCCACTGCCCCAGGCGCACGCAGTCTTCCTGCGTGGCGGGGTGGGTGTAGATATGCGTGCTAGCTGCCGCAGATTTTCGGGGGCTCCTAGGCAGAGAGCTCTGAGAGCTCTTCGGCTTCTCTGGAAGGAGCCTGGCATCCCATACCCTCCGGATCGAAGCATCCACGAGTGGCACCTCCGGAGGATGGCACTTTAGGCTGCAGAGACGGTTGAAAGGGAGCTTCTATAACGGGGTTTCATGCAGTATTATGAGGTGAATTTTCGCTATCGCTATAGAATCTAGATCTGTTATGGAACCCGAAGGAATACTACGACTCTCGTGGAGCAGGGACTCTGTGTCGAGTGCATGCTGTATAGATACATATCTGCTGCTGCCACTGTGTTGACCGCTCCTGGCAAAACTGAAAGAACAACTGCAAATCTCAGGCTGGTCCAAATTGCGAGTGTCGAATTACAACTGCTACTACTGCGGCTGCGCGACCACCAAAACCACCGCCGCGACAGCTACCAGTACTCCTGGTGCTCGTCATTCTCCTACGACTACCGCCATCACCCTACTGCTCCGACGGCTGCCGCCACCACAACCACTACGAAGACATTACTACTCGTATGCCTGCAGGCTTTTGGTAGCCACTATCACCGTTAGTTACTTGCGTTGCTGATACTGCTGCTACCACCAGGACCCGCCAGCACCATTGTCATAGGTTTCGTTTGTTGATCGAGTTTCTGTTCCCTATCTGACTATGTCATCCAAGGTTGCTGTGATGTTCGCTTAACCAAATGCAGAACATTACAGACTGAGCAACTCAGGATCGCTTGCGCGACGATCTGGAGAGAGCTCCCCAACTGTTTGAGGACAGGTCAAAAATGTCGGAGACATACTCAATTCAATGTCGAGCAGACAGCTACGTTGCCCTTCCGTCTCTTTGTGCATATATTCACGCAAGATGAGTCTTTCCACATCTGTGCATCAGATACGAAGCCTCGGTATCAGCTCTCGGACGGTACCCCGAAGCCTGGCTGTAGCCTAAGTTGTAGACGTCAGGCTTAGGCAGATGATGTATTGACATGTTCTGTCTGTCCTGGCCTTGGTCATGGGATTGAAAGGATGACTGGTGAATGTGAAATGGGAGTTTCCGAAATTAGGGGTACTTGATTTTAGGGTCCTTATACAAGGATCCTACTATTTAGGGTACCATATTAGGCTTCCCTATTTTCGGAAACACCCAAATGTGGATATATGAGGACATTGTAAGCTTGCGCCGCGTCTTCACCGAGCCGCCGCCACTTTCCCAACGAGAAGGCCTTGAGAGCCCTTTCGACATGTGGTCACGTTCAACTCATCCTGCTTGGGGACACTGCAGGTGCGCAGTGAGCGACGCCCTGCGATGCTTGAACGAGTCCGGAGGGGTTCAGCAGTTTAGCCGTTCTTCCTAGATTTCTTGCTGTTCCAGGCCCGGGGTACCTCTTCCTTCTAGACCCTGGAGTCATCCTGAGTCCGAGCTTCTTTGCCTGCATGATCTACTCCAAACGACGCACACCTGTCGCCCTGGCCCTACGTCATCAATGTCGGATACATGTGGGGCTTTTCATGCAACCGGGCTCCTCCAAGCCTCGGCAGATCCCGAGCGCGGCTTGTGGGCATTCATCGCAACGTAGATGTGAGCGATGATGTTCCTCCAAGTTCGAGAGCTAATGAAAAGCTGCTTCTTCCCCTGAGCATATCGTCCACGCATGATGACAGGCCGTCTCACTTCTGAGCTGTTCAGTACGCAGGCTGATGAAACTGCTCCCTCACCACTGAGCTTTTTTTCTGGAGATGCCTGTCTAAGCACCGTGCTCTCGGCACTGGGGCTGTGTTTAATGAGTGATTCCCAGCCGTGGAGCCACAGGCTCAGCAGCACCCTTTCTTCTTACATTTTTTCAGAGAAACTTTTTTATACGGAGACACCATCGATTTCGTCTGGCTGTTTGCGCCAGAACCGGTGATTCTGCGCATTCGCAGAGATCGATCCTTGCCCTGGCAGCAAAGCAGGGGGGACATGCAGGGGGTCTTGTGCAGCTGGAGAAGTGCGCCCTGATGCTGCCAGAGCACCTGGATTGCGAATTAGAGGCGAGACGCCACTTACAAGTGGAGAGTTTCGTTTTTTAAAAACCCAAGGGCCGCGTCTGTACCGTTGGTTTGGCGCTGCCCTCACATGCCCAAGACTTGTACATTCCTCTGTGCTTCCTTGCTCCACGAAGGCGTCGAGCTGTTCAATGTCGATGCGGCAGTCCAGGAAGTAGGATGGGTATCTCTAACAGCTTCTTGTCGGAGCTACACGCACAGACTGGTGTTCTAAGTCTCATGCGGCAGCACTGAAGGAAACTTCAGTGTGAAAGCCCCTAGCTTTTTGGAAAGCCGAGAATCTGCAGACAAACCTTTTTGGGATGAAGCTTTCTGCAGCTGCGGATGTGTGTCAGTGCTGCAGCAGGCGACCTGTTGTGAGTACATGGCAGCCGGCACGCCTCTGACAGGAGCTGCGTCGGGAAGAGATTCGGCGCAAAGAACAGGAGCTAGTTGAACGCAAGCTGATTGTGCATCACAAAGTTCCCGTGCAGAAGCTGAGGCTCTAAATCTGACATACCATATTCAGCCTTGAGGGTTGTTCTTCCTCCGGCAGCGTGTTGAGAAGAGGAGGAAGAACAGCGGCGTCGCGAGGAGGAGGAGGAGGCGCAGCGGCGGTTGGAAGAGGAGGCACTCCGCACTCGAAAGGCGCGACTTTGGGAAGCCTGGAAACCGCTCGACAGTATTTGGGGTCTGTGGCAGTGGTGCTTGAGGCCGCGGTCTTCCGCTCTAGCGGCTGCAGATTGAAAGTGTGGACCGTGTCCTTGACACCGCATGGCTCCTGGTAGCAGCATCATTGTCACTTCCAGTTCCAGTCACCACCTGACGTCCTTTCCAAACCAACAATCGGCCCCCGCCCTTACGGGTAACGCCTTGAAGCCTTGAAGCGTCCCATTCTTGGAGGCAAAGCCCGGACCTGCACGCCGTGCCTTGGCGGAGGACGCCTTCGACGTGCTCCGGGGCTCG